GCTGTCTTACACATTATCTTATTGCTGCACTGGATATCGGCAATGATGTTTCGTGAAAAGATGATCCCTATTTTGTCGACCTTTGCAACCATGTGAGGCAGCAATGTTCGCTTTCTTCCATATTTACTTTCTCCTTGTTTCATCTCACGTTGAGGCCGCCTCCGAAAATGAACTCCCACGCGACAAGTCGCGATCTGTCTGGGGTCCTGTACTAGACGACTACGGCGCTTGAGAAACTCAAAGCGGGAAACGTCCCCGACCGACCAATTATGAATGCCATTAGAACATTTTTATCCACGCGCCGAACTTCACACGCTTGACAACCGTTGACTAGACGAATGACAATACTTGACAAACGCTCTGGTGCGAATGAAAATGGCGCGAACGATCAGCTGATCGGCCGAGGCAGCCGAAGTCAGAAGTCACCGCGTAAGTCAGAAGTCAGTATACCATACTTCTAATAAGGCCAAGGGAAATACAACCACAATAGACATATATATATATATATATATATATATATATATATATAATGGATGTGATAACCATAGTTCTTAATATGCACAGGTCTTTTCATTGCTTTGCTACCTCCTTGGTAATGGAAATAGGAACACCGTGTGCTCGGAGCAAGGGCAGCAGAGAACATTTTCAACGGTGCTTATTGCAAATGCTCTTGAAACGGAATGAGCGATGCAGTGTGCAATAGGCGTCTAGCAGCGGGCCGTATGTAGCAACACGGCTTTACAAAAATAATAAGGAGCAAAGGGCCCAACATTGACACCTGTGGAACCCCACTCTTTGCTAGCTACGTATTGAGATTTTGTACCATTAAGCATGACTATTTGTTTTCTATCTAGCAGCAAAGCGCTTACACAACCAAAAATTTTCCCTCAGTACCATGTGATTTTAACTGACATAGCAGACTTTGGTGTGCTACCTTATATGAACAGATTAATGTAAGAAGATAACCTAAAGCACTCGCGCATTCATTCAACACTCCACCATATATCTGGTCATGTCCGGCCACCTTATCAACCCTAATTTCCTTCAAGCTTTCCCTTACGATACCGCGGTCACCATCAGATCCAACGTGTCGACGTGCTGGATCATCAAAAATAGCGAAGGTGATAGGGGAAAGTCGGGAATTTTTTGGCGGTACAACTTGGCCTATTTGGAACAGAATGCAAACGAAGAGACCAGCAATCAGGCACAGCATGACGGGCGCATATTTCATGTGCAAAACTGTGAAAATGACTTAGCAGATGCGAGAGGCATACAATGTACACATCCCGTGCAGCCATGCCACGCCGGAGGACAGCTGAATGCTCCGTGCCATGAAGAGGACGAAAGGACGTGTTGGCTAGCTGTGGCTTGTGGGATGTGGGGAGCAAGGAGATGGGGCGTGGCGAAGCTCAGCACGCAACTGTGCTTTGTTGTTATGCCACCAACTTAAAACAAAAAAGAATGCACATATGCATGAGATCTCATGAACCAGGCTTACAGACCTGACAGCGTGATCCAGCTCACTCAGGTTTGAGGTAAGTTGGGCATGTTCGAAAAGCCTGCTTCCGATAGATCTTACTCATGGAGCGTGTGACCACTTGTATCTTAGACCAAACACTACAAACGGCGTGAAACGAGGCTTTACTCGTTCAACGCCAATACACCACAAGATGGCACGAAACTAGCTCCAAAGGTTTCTCGAAATACGAACTAGCCGACTGATACTCTCGGTATTCGATACGTATCTATATCCACAGGCCAATGACCAAGAATCACAGCTTGATGCTGGTACGAAATCAATCCAAGCTATAATTCCATGCGTTGTGCCCAAGTGCAGGCTCCAGTCCACATCAGCCATAGGAAATGCACTGCTTTTTGCCGGCTTCGTCCCTCTACTTACTCCCCGTTCTTGTCGCTCACGACTCTTTTCCGTTGTGCGCTTCTCAGATGACTTGTATCTCATCTTAGACCAAACACTCTTAGACTTGCATCTTAGACCAAACACTACAAACGGCGTGAAACGAGGCTTTACTCGCTCAACGCCAATACACCACAAGATGGCACAAAACTAGCTCCAAAGGTTTCTCGAAATACGAACTAGCCGACTGATACTCTCGGTATTCCATACGTATCTATATCCACAGGCCAATGACCAAGAATCACAGCTTGATGCTGGTACGAAATCAATCCAAGCTATAATTCCATGCGTTGTGCCCAAGTGCAGGCTCCAGTCCACATCAGCCATAGGAAACGCACTGTTTTTTTTTGGCCAGCTTCTTCCCTCTACCTTACTCCCCGTTCTTGTGGCTCACGACTCTTTTTCCGTTGTGCGCTTCTCAGATGATGGAAACAAGTCCATGCTGTATTCAAAACCCGACTGGCCGATCATCAGCGAGCTAGTGCTCTCAGGACAGCGCCAGGTGGCACCGTCCGGGCTGTACGTGTCGGACGAGACAGACACCGACAGTATGGTAAACCCACAAGAATATATATATATATATATATATATATATATATATATATATATATATATATATATATATGAACAGATATAGTGATTGGCCCGTCCATGAAGTTTACACGTGCACAGATGTGAGAGCACATCAAATGATTCAGCACTCATGTCAATGGGATAAATGTCTCGAGCTCTCTTCTGATGCATCGTTAGACCGTGTTTAATGACAACCGTAACGCCAGCATTGACTTTTCGAAGCAATGGGGGCGGGACTGTGCATCAGATACGTGCCATTTCATTTGGAATCATTACATCCGTCAAATTCAGGGATCGTGCTTTTTCCACAGCTGTTGGGTGAAGGAAGAATCATAACCAGTCTGAAGGAGCTGTTACTCAAAAAGCATAAATTACGTTTACACTTAAAGTGACGTTATTTTATGTAGGCTCTGAACTACCCGTGCATTTGATATGGCAGTTTGAATCGCAGTGAGGTTTGATAGTCTTGCACGGCACATGGAGTTTCGGGAATCGCGATAAATGCAATGAACTATTAATGAGAAAGTAATGAATAGTACGTCACTGAACCTTACGTGGATGGAGGTCTCATAGATAAACGCAACACTCAACCGACAACCGTGGAAATAATATATTGCAGAAGCGTGACTTGGTGTGACAGCAATGAATAGTGCAACCTTCTTTAATACGAGCGTAGATGGCCGGCTAGGTACCCTTCGCCCGGGTGGGGGGGGGGGGGGGGGGTCAATTTGACCCCCTGAGATCTCGGGAACTAAGAAAGATAGAAAGCACCAAATTTCGAGGGTGTCTTAACCTGTATGTGAACTCACTTACGTCAAAGTTTGAGCTTCCTAGGTTATGACCTTCAGGTCAAATAAGGTCAAACAATATCAAATTCTAGGTTGGTCTCCAAGGTGCCTCCAGAACCTAGGCAACTGTTTCTAAGCAAAAGATCACAAGCCCATTGAAGGTCAGTGACCTTTTTGACCTTTTGAAGGTCATGGTGACCAAAATACTACAAGACTGCTCTGAGTTTTGCATTTGAATAAGCGACAAAGAATACGCTAAGCAGTATGTTCCTAGAACAAGCTGTCGACCCGGGTCATCTTACGTCAAAGGCCTGCTCTGACCTCTAAGAAGTCGATGGCAGATGTATAATGCAGTTCCTTCTATCAATAAATTCAGAATGAGCACCAGAAACTATCCCATACAGGAAGCTCTAGAGTAATAAATGAGGTGGGTTTCGACCTTGGTCCGACCTTCACACCTGACCTCAAGTCAACGTTAATTGCTCATCCAACATTTGTGGTGCCTAAGAAAGCATCTCTGAGATGTATAGCTTCTTCAAACACTCCGTTGTTGTATCAGATTAAACGATTCCCTTGAAACTGCCTTCGCTGAAACCACGGCCTGACTTTGACCTGCCATATGTCAGCGATCTTACAAGGCACATCTACATTTGTTATGTCAAACAATCCACTATTCAATTGTCTACATCGAAGCAAAATTTGGCGCGGCTGCGCCGCACGGTTCGGAAACTATTCTGGAAAAACCTTCGGGGAGGGGGGGGGGGGCAATTTGACCCCTAATTTGACCGCGTGTTAATCTGGTGCTTTCGCACCTTCATGAGCTAATGAGTGGAAGGAAGTGACCATTCTCATTCAAGCATGTTTGTTGTAGCATAAAATATGGCTTTATCACCATGACAGCACTCAGGAACATATTAGCGACAATTCCTAAACAAACAGAGAACATCCCTGCTCGCCCGCTTGAGCAGGCATGAGTACCAATACAAGTTTCCGTAATTCGTTTTCTTCACACGGCGAAAAGATAAACAGAACTCATAAATTTCTTAATTTCTTCGACAGTGAAAAACTGCACCGGCGCCTCAAACCCGTGAGTTGCATTAAGCATGATTCTTCCACTTTTATGGTCTAATTTTTTAAGGTGATGTTGCTGGTAACAGTGCTAACTAGTGGTGTCAGCTGCGCATCGCGCTCGAATGGGGGGTGTGCATGTTACTTCGCACTGGCTGTTGCGCGGACCGCGCTGAGCCGTGCGGTGTGGGCGTGGCTAACACAGGAGACAGTAGCTGACCCATCTTCCGCCATACTGCCTATTTGCTAGACTCCACATGCCGCACATGTCGTGTCGCGTGCCCCGGGGAAGTAAAGTAGCCTCCGCACAACGGGGAAGGTAGCCGGCACGCACGGGTTCTCTTCACAACGGGGAGGGTAGCCGGCACGCACGGGTTCTCTTCACAACAGGGAGGGTAGCCGGCACACGCGGGTTTTGCGGGCGCCCTGCCGCTGAGGAGATCACTTGCCGCAATGCAGATGGCTTTGCGACGCTTTCTACACGGGCGTATCCCAAGCGGGGAGAGACCCATCCGTCTCCCGCAGTGGACACGTCTGGGCGTCCTGGCCGCGCACCGCGCACCGCGCACTCTTCACACGCTACAGCGCCGAAGGACGGCGAACCTCCCGAACCGGTCGCAGCTGTTCGCCGTACCCGCATCGCCGCACATTTGCTAGTTGCAGCTGCCTGGCGGGCCGCGGCAGTACTCGAACTTGCTGACCTCTGGCGAGGACAGCAGGATGGCTACGTTAAAGACGATAGTGATGACGAGGAAGCAGGCGCCGGAGAGCCGGTCGACGACATAGGCGACGAGGCGCCACTCTTCGGCCAGCGCGGCCTTGAGCCCCTCGACATTGTCCTGTTCGCGACGAGCGGCCATGTTTCTCTCTATCCGCTCCAGCACCTCCTGCACACCGTTGGCCGTCTTGACACCTGGCGGCGCACGGGACAGGCCGGTGAGTACGTCGCGTCAGTCGCGCTTGGGACAGGGTCACCAGAAGTGTACAGGGCGCGCCGCGCGCCACCGGCCTGGCCTGGCCTGGAAAGACGACAGCAGACACATCCTGAGTCCTCGAATGCTCCGAGAGAGTTCGACGATGTTGTCTTTACGGATATCAGCTGACTGTTTTGCTTTGCGCACACAGCATGCTCATATGTGAGCACCTAGTTTCAGAGCCCATTCATTACCCGCATCAAGCCCACGCCTGATTCACACATCCGTACTGCAGAGTTTAGCAGTTTGCACTTACTTACAAAAGCAGAAGTCAACATCGAGTTTTCCTGGACATGCGGTTGTGCACGTCATATACAGTTGAGCCCTCTGCTCTTGCTTTGACATTCAGCACTTTTTGCATGTCCCTGGGCTTTAAGGATGAAGATCCTTGGACAATGGACAATGAGGGTTTGTGGCCAAAGCATCCTGAATTGCCCGTAAGATAGTTAGCTTGTGTTAAAATATTTGCTTACACCCCGGCGTAAGCTTAAGCGATGCGAGAAACTCTTTATCAAAGATTGTTTGCGATGGGACGAAGGGAAACACATACAAAAACAGTCCAGGAAATGTCGGAATGGCCAGAGCATATGCAAAGACGACGCCTGGATGTTCTTTTTCCAAAATGTGCACAACTAGCGGTGCCGTCATGGGCGATATTTCATCGCATCTGCATTCGCGGAGGCGGGGCTGCTCACATACATTTCGCCGTCATAACACTTATTTCATTAACGGTTTCTGGTTGGAACGCGGCAATGGGATATAAGTCCAGATCCATGGAATCTATTACTTTACAATATTGTGGGGACTTATTAGAAAAGTTGAGTGTTGTTACGTGCCCCTTTTTTATTGTCCCATGCTGCAAATGTGAGGCATCGTCAATACCGTTATCGTTTCATTAGAGTGGAACAACTCCGAGTCAACACCTGGCTTAATAGCTTAGGTTACCCGTGCAGGGCCGGACCCAGCACGAGAACTTAATAGATACCAGTCTGTTTGGAGGGGGCAGTTCCAAAACGGTGCTAACCACACTACAATCAGGCCAATTGCCCGCATTATTTTCCGCGGTCACGGAGAGGCCACGATTCGGCCTCTTAGGTAGGGCTGACTTCTTTCGTTTGGTACGTAGTGAATCCCGTAATTTGAGCGTTTAAGACTTTTTCCTCATGATCGTGTGCATTTTTACGCATGAACATAATGTAAGCTATTTTCTGTACTCGAGAATACCTGCCACGAACACATTATTTGTATATACAACCGGCTCCTAGCATCCGGAAAATGCATCCAAGGGGAACCGACCGGCTCCTGGCATCAGGAAAATGCAAGATCTGACACACTCCACTTGTCAGAAGTCAGCAAAACGTCCGGAAAAATCGGCCGCCTCTAAGAGAGCTGCTAAATGCCGCCATCCAATTTTCATTTCATTTATTCGCTGGCTTCTAAAGTGGTATAGGCCAGCAAAGCTGCCAGACGCCGTGCGAAACACAGCCATTCCAATAACTAAACACGGGTAGGGCAATCGTTACGAGCGCGGCCGCTGAGCGAATTAATTCCACTTATATAGCGATATGATTTTCTATATGAACTGCTCGGCTCGGCCCCGCCAGTGCGGCCCTCGCGCCATCTTTGCAGCCACTAGTTGCAGCTGCATACCGGCTTCAGTAACATGAGGTGTTATTCATTAAAGCCGTATTGCACAAGGGTTTCAGGATTTTGATACATGGTGTTCAGCCGGACGGCATTTTCCTGCAACATGCGGTCTGATGTCAATGTATCTATGGGACAATGTTGACAAGCGGCGTCAAAGCGGTGTCTGCCCAACGGTTTTGACGATCGGGAAAACGGCAAATCGTATAAAGATATCTGCAGATTGATGTGTAAACCAAGACACGCACTCTGTGCGCAAACGACTTATTAGGCCTTTTTTGGGAGAGAGAGAGAGAGAGAGAGAGAGAGAGAGAGAGAGAGAGAGAGAGAGAGAAGAGGAGAGAGAGAGAGAGAGAGAGAGAGAAGAGGAGAGAGAGAGAGAGAGAGAGAGAGATAGAGAGAAGAGAGAGAGAGAGAGATAGGATAGAGATAGAGCGAGATAAGAGAGAGAGAGAGAGAGAGGAGAGAGCAGAGAGATATAGAGCGAGATCCGATCTATCTAGAGAGAGAGAGATCTCGACTCGAGAGAGCGATCGATCCTATAGAGTCTTGAGGATCTACGAGGCCCACCCCACCCTTATTTCTATACCCACCACCACCCCCACCCACCATCAACTACATCACACATCACTCATAACCACACACACACACACTCCACACCACACCACACACACACACACACACACACACACACACCACACCACACCACACACACACAACACACACACCACACACACACACACACAAAAAACAAACAAACCGTACTGTGCAGGCAATGCACCGGTTATAAACCGCTAAAAAAAACCTACGTCAAGGCTGTCTGGCTCACATGTTCTCTTGTTGGCTGGGAGGGAGCCTGTCAGCTTTTCGGTAACCGGCCTGAAAGACATGCTGTTGCCAAAATCGGGAAATTAGACCAAGAAAAGTATGGAGGTGAATGGTTCATTTCCCTGTGGCAAACAGGTACCTAAAATATTTCCGTCTCCCTCAAAGCTTTCGTCACGTCCACCGCGGCCGCAAGCCACAAGTGATACAGTAGCTTCGCCGAATGAAGTTATCAGGCTTTGCCATGCCTAAAGCCAGCCAATGATCAAACAAATCTTTTGTAAGAGAGTGGTCCTTACACATCAGGGCGCTTCTGATTGACAAAGCCAGTGCATTAATTAACACGCGCCCGGGTGGCCGGCTGGATACCCTTTGCTCGGGTGGGGGTCAGTTTGACCCCGCTACGGTCTCGGAAACTAAGAAAGCTACAGACACCAAATATACAGGGTGTGTAGACCTGTGCGTGAACTCACTTAGGTCAAAGTTTCAGGTTCCTAGGTCATGATCTTCAGGTCAAATAAGGTCAAACAAGGTCCAATTCAAGGAATGTCTCTCAAGTGCCCCTAGATCCTATATAACTGTATCTAAACAAAAGGTCACATGCTCATTTAAGGTCAGTGACCTTCTTGTACCTTTTGAAGGTCATGGTGACCAAAATCATACAAGATCGCTCTGAGTGTTGCATTTCAATAAGCGACAAAGATTATGTTAGGCGGTATGTTTCTACAAACAAAATATTGACCCGGACCATTTTAGTTCAATGACCTATTCTGATCTTTAACAAGTCCATGGAAGATGCATAATGCGATTCCTGCTATCAATAAATTCGAAATGAGCATCGGAAGCTTTCTCATACAGCAAGCCCTAGCGTAATAAAACAGGTTGTTTTTTAACTTGGTCTGGCCTTCATACCTGACCTTAGGTCAATGTAATTTGCTTATTCAACTGTTGTGTTTCCTAAGAAACCATCTCAGAGATGTATGGCTTCGCCTAACACTCCGTTGTTAGGCGAAGCCAAACGATTCCCCAGAAATTGACTTCGCTCAAACCATGGTCTGACTTTGACCTGCCATAGGTCAGCAACATTACAAGGTACATCTAGATTTTGATCCCAAGCGGTCCGCTATTCAATTGTCTACAGCTATGCAGAACGCAACCCGACGCATCGACGCAAAGGTATGCATCATCATCTTAGCTCTCTGGACATATTTGCTTTCGGACATTCGCACCAATGGTGTCGTTGCGATGTTCAGCGCACTAAGGGAGACGAAATTTAGCTAATCCGCCCATTTGATACAACAGTATTCATAGCCTTGTTACTCGTAGAATAAATAGAATAGAGAGAAAGGTGTGATATTTCGGCTACATGCCTTTATCAAAACAAATTGTCCTCTGTGCCGTTTATTCTAGAAGGAATAAGTCTATTAACACCGTCTTACCCATATGCATAACGTTTCTCGCACGTGCGCTTAAAAACTTACGTAATTTTAGACGACCATATATCGAATTATGGATTCACTCTCTTGCCGAACCATATATGTGCAATAAGCATAACTACGGAGTGACGACAAAAAACACAGAAGTTCCTCAAGCTGGTCGTTAGCAGACATTGTTTGCAATCAGTCCAGTTTGTGCAACTGACAACAGAACGCGCGAGAGATCTGTGAGGGAAGAACGCAGGAATCAGGTGAGTGAAGATGCTATAGACCGACACAGTTTTCGACGCTAGGTTTTTTCATAAGCTACCGCGCGGTGCGAATGGAATTCTTTCCATTTACAAAGTTGCCCTGTAATGCAAGTCATCTAGTTTTGCCCTGGAAAGGGCTAGTTACCTAAACTATTCAAACAGTTTCCTCGGGCTAGCGCAAATCATGGGTAAACATTGCAAACTTGTGCTCCATTATAAGTGAAATCAGAATATGCTTGGCTGCAACCAATGCCTGAAGTAAAAAATATTGGGTGTTACCGTGAGTTCAGGTATTGTTAAGCAGGGATGTTACATCAAAATGAATGTAAAAATCCATGCGCAGGACATGACTATTAAAGTCCACCCCAAGGTTGCCGATAACCAACGGGTTCCTGGACAATGTATGAGCTGATCAGCTTGCTGGACTGCTAGCGTGGATGGACGTAAAACGTCTTTCTCGCAACGTGCCAGCCGGGGAAACCGTCCAAATCATGCTGGACGACGTTTACAACCACACGAGCCTACCTCGCCTGAAAATACATGTTGCATCAACTGGCGTCAGGGTTTCGTCAAGTAGTTTCGAGGACCACACGGAAAATTCTGCCATCAAGGCGATGACGTCATGATGGCGGCCCTGGCCTTATACAGCCTTGTCCCTGGCGGCCTGCTCACCAACAGCTGCACGCAGCGCATTGAGAATCAAACATCCAACAGACAGGGGTTCTGAGACCAAGTAGCTGCTGCCGCTTCAATGCCATCATTTTCTGCAGTCACGAGGAATAT